TCTATCGTTGGAGTTGAATTTAATGTCAAATTTTAAATTAATGTCAAATATATTTAATGAGAAGGGTTGAAATTAATATTTATTATATTAAATATATTAAATATAAATGAAAAAATATATATTAATTTAAAATGTTCAAATTAATATTTAATATATTATATATATGAGAGGAAAAATATATTTATTGTATTTAATACAATTAAATATTATTGATACCTCAAATGAGAATATATTTGAAATTTGAATAAGATTCAAATTAGTTAAATATATATTAAAATATTATATAATATTTAAATATGATTTGTATAAAATATTATATCCTAATATATTAGACATGCAAATATATTATTGGATAAAATTAAATAGGACATTCAGGTTAAGCCAAGACATACAAATCTCCCACTTCCTCTAGAGAACGAAATTACCTCTACATACAATTCTTTCGAAACTCTCTTCTCCAATTCCTTTGAGATTTTCTTTCAAAAGGCTTCACAAGCCTTGACTTTGTGTTTGAGTCATAGTAAATAAGATTTTGTGGGATGTAGAAGAACTTTTACACGATTGGAATACTTCAAGTAGTCTTGCAAGCTAGGATTTCTACACAGGTAGTGTTCTTACTCTCGAATTTATTACTTTGTTTTAATTCATAATAAAAATCAAAACGGTTCCCAATGTTTCCACTATGTGGATGAAGAGTTTATTCCCTTCATGAATATTAATACATGAAAGACTAAAAAGTTGTGACACCCGAGTAAAAGAGTGGTAAATGAATGAATCGAAACCATATCTAAATGAGAGCAATCATGAAGATAAGATAACTAAATCAGACTCAAAATAAATGAAACTTACTACTTATACCAGCAAAGTGCACCTCTCTTTTTCGATAGCTCAATCATAGGAACTTTATAATTAAGCGTAGGAGATCTCCTAAAACAAAGACAAAACATGCTAGAAGACCTCGTGTTGATCTTGAAGAATTTACGAGGTCACTAAGGAGTTGGTAGAAACTAGTGAAGTTGGCCACCAATCACACTTGAGGAAGAAGATTAGTTAGAACTAATAAAAAGAACTCAATTTAATCGATTAAAAAGTATATTAATTTATAAATCAAATATCACATGAACATAATTTTTTAAAGGTAAAGACATAATTATTCGTTCTTTCGGAAAATTTAAGGTTTAAATCGTAAACTCGAACCAATCGCCTTTGGGTGTAGTGTTCTTCATATTTGAACCAAACGTATATAGTGATACAACTACATGTGTAGAGCAAATGAAAGAGATACAATTATTGGGCAACAACCGGCCCACCCGGTCACTTTTCTTAGTGTATAACCGTTACATTATAACCCACAATTGCATCTCCAACGGTGTTGAACGAATAAGTGCTCGCCAGAGCATACCCGCGAGCGAACCGGAAAACGCCAGTCCCTCCGACCACCGGCAGCTCACGGACTTTATGCATCACCGAATTCTTCCCGACAATAACAATGGAGCTGCCGTTGAACTCGCCGGCGGTGAATTGATAGGTCAGTGTCATGAGCAGGGCCAGCTCCTGCTGCGAGGCCATCGCATACAGCCCCTGTGCCCTGCCGACCTCCTTCGATTTGGGGTCCGGCGTTTCGGTCAATGGGTCGTCGACGATGAGCACGTTTCCGAAGAGGGTCGGTGAGTTGGCGGAGGAGGGGGCCTCTGCCACCTTAATGGCGGAGGGGGTGTTGCCGCTGGGGGTGTCGTGGAAGTAGAATTGGATGTTGGTGACGGTTTGCTTCTGGGAATCGTGTCGGGAAATTAGGGGTTTCTTTGCGTTGAGAGTTGGAGTCCACGGGAGAGCGGCGAGGAGAAGGACGAGGAATAATGAATTTGAAAGATTCGCCATTTTTGTTTACTCTGTTTCTCTCTGTTTCGTGGAAGAACAGAGCTCGATGACGAGGCGGTTTTATAATGGAAACGGGACGGTTTTCTTAGTTTTTAATCTTTAATTTATTTATAGAATATCACTGACGTGGAAAAAGGGTGGTTGTGGGACCCATTCATCAATAAAATAAAAGGAAAAAGTTTTTTTTTTTTTTTTTTTTTAATCGTCACTACTAAATTTAAAAAATAGTTATTAGCTTTCAAAAAGGCAATATTATAAAATTCAATGGCATTAAATGTTACTTTTAATTTTACTCTGATACCCACCTTGGTTGGGTAGAAGAAAAAACCTCTTTTTGTAAGGGTGATGAAACCTTCCTCTAGCAAAAGCGTTTAAAAATCTTTGAGGGGGAAGTCCAAAAGAAAAAGCCTAAAGAGGACAATATTGGCTAGCGGCAGCGGTGGATTTGGGTCGTTACAAATAGTATCAGAGCTAGACACTGGACGATGTGCTAGCCTTCTCGTTGTTCCCCGAAAGGGATAGACACGAGGCGGTATGCCAGTAAGGATGCTGGCCTCAAATGAGAGTGGATTTGAGGCGGTCCCACATCGATTGGAGGAAGGAAAGAGTGCCAACGAGAACGCTCGGCCTCGAAGGGGGGTGGATTATGATATCCCACATTGGTTGGGGAGGAGAACAAATCACAATTTATGAGGGTGTGGAAACCTTCCCCTAGCATACCCGTTTTAAAGGCTTGAGGGAAAGCCCGAAAGGGAAAGCTCAAAGAGAACAATATCTGCTAACGGTGGATTTGGGTCGTTACAAATTTCATGAGTATTTTTTAAAATGATTAAAAAACTTTTTTTCCCCTAACATTGACATGATCCTTTGAATATTGGGTTAGTGACCCATTATTCCATGCTTTGAAAAAGTAGGTAGGGTTGTTGGTCCAACTCTTCATTTTCCTTATAAAATTAGGAAAATAAATATTAGGTGTTACATGATAAACTATATAATATAATTACTTTATCAAATATAATAGTGACATAATACCACGAAAAAAATTGGAATATTCTAGAAATGTGTAATGGGTAGTGTTACGATCGTGCTCTTACGAAACGTTTGTAAGCGATTTTGCGATACTCATCCTAACTATTGAGTGAGTCAGCCAACTGGAAATCGTGTAGCCTTCGACCTAACGACATATACCCAAACCTCTGATTCCGCTCTATGAACAAACTTTAAAAAATGAAGGCAGAGAGATTTTAGAATGAGAGTTTGAAAGAACTCTATATGACTATGAGTAAAGAAATAAACATCACGGCTTAAATAACATAACTCGGGGTCGGAAGAATTGGCTACTAGTCGCATCCCCTATAGTACATTTTGAGGTATTTCAAATCTAACAGACGTAAACATGATTTTGCTGAAACATGAACACACAATAATGCATAAGGTCCCAACATTTTTCCATTTCAGTATCATGTACTACAACCCTGCGAGCGTCTTCCTTTATATCATAGCAGTTTTATCATATCTTCCATGGGTGTATCGAGGTTGTATCTCATGCCAAAAATATATTATTGCATGTTATTCATACAATATATCTTAACATGTCACATGTGTCATATCATAAGTGTATCATGTCATACCATGCACATATCATGTCATGAAGCATCATATCATGTTATCCATCATCATATCATATCGTTCACGTATCATATCTTAAATATGTTGTCAAACGCATCGTACCATAACACTTATATCATATCATTCACATAGTATATCATAACATACGTCATAACATTTACATAATGTATCATAATCATAGTATATCATAAAATACGTCTTATCTTCACGTATCATACCTCGATTATATCATCAGAAGCATCATATCATTCACATATCGTTATAATCTATAAAGAATATTTAGCCTTTCGTTACAGTTTACCATAGATATCATATTTGACATTTTATTAATGGCAAAGATCTTCGTTACTGATTACTAAGTATCATATTTAATCTTTTATTATAAGAAAATATATTATATTCATTTATTACTCTCCTATTATTATTATTATTTTTTTTTTTTGTAACTTATGATGATTGTAGACAGAGAATTTCACCACTATTTAAGTGTGGTGATTTCAGCAAATATTGTCATGGTATCAGAGAAATTTCGGTTTAGCAACTCCGATCCTTTATTTTCAATGGTTTCTGTATCCTCTACTCATCTCTCCTCCACTACCATTGCATAATTTCAGTTTAGTAACCCCGATCCTTTATTTTCAATGCTTATGAATCCTCTACTCATCTTCTTCTCCACTACCATTGTTAGCTTTGACGCTGCTGGGGCAGTCTCTAGGGCTGCCGCAGGTGGAGCCGATTGATTACTCTTCGACCCACCCTTTTTACCTTCAAATCATTCTTCGCTAGCCCACCCTCCACCATACTCTGTACATACCTCATTCATTTTCTTCCCAATTGACACTTATCCTTTACAGGGTTTCTGACCTTAGGATCTTCATTAGTATTCTCATCGAAAATATATGAAATCTCGACAAGCCCATCGACCTTCGGTAAAGATTTACCTTTGAAATCCAAGAGCTGCACCAGCCTCTTCGCCAACCATGTTGCCGCTGGCCTCCTCGCTAAAATCGGCTCATTCGCCCACTGTAGCGACTCTTCCGGCTTCAACATCGTTTTCATCCCTTCCACCGGGGGGCATGGCTCCCTCTTCGTCCATTGGAACTTTACAACCTAATATGACGCCAACTACTTTTCCACCGGCTCCACCTACTGCTCCGTCATCAGTCTCCACTCCTAGCAATGGTGGTGCAGTGAACAAAATCACTATCCCTATATCTATCCTTTGCAACACTCAACCTATCCACCAAGTGAGTCACCCAACTCCAAATCGTGTCACATTCGACCTGACAACATATACCCAAACCTCTAGCCGGACTTTGAGAAAAAAAAAAATTAGAAAATGGGAGCGGATAGATTTTATAAAGAGAGTTCGAAAACTAGATTTGAAACAATTGAAAGCAACTTTATATGACTATAAGCAAAGAAATAAACTTAACCGCTTAAATAACATAGAATTAAGGGTATTGAGAATTGACTATCAAATCTAGAGATGATTCTACCGAAATGTCATACAGTATGTTCGAACCTTTATTCATATTTGAACGAAACCATGTGAAGAGAAAATGAAAGAAACATAAAATCATCGGACAACAACCGGACCACACGGTCACTTTTCCTAGTGTATAACCGTTAAATTATAACCCACAATTGCATCTCCAACGTTGTTGGCCCAATAAGTACTCGCCAGAGCATACCCACGAGCGAACCGGAAAGCCCCCGTCCCTCCGACCACCGGCAATTCCCGGACTTTATTCATAATCGAATTCTTCCCAACAATAACAACGGAACTGCCGTTGAACTTACCGGCGGTGAATACATAGGTCAGTGTCATGAGCAGACCCACCTCCTGCTGCGCGGCCGACGAATACAGCCCCTGTGCCCTGCCCACCTCCTTCGATTTCGGGTCCGGCGTTTCCGTCAATGGGTCATCGGCGATAGACACGGTGCCGAAGAGCGTCGGTGAGTTGGCGGAGGAAGGGGCCTCTGCCACCTTAATGGCGGAGGGATTCTTCCCGGTGATGGTGTCGTGGAAGTAGAATTGGATCTTGGTGACGGTCTGCTTCCGGCAATGGCGTCTGCAAATTACGGTTTTCTTCGCGTCGAGGGTTCGAGTCCATGGGAGAGCTGTGAGGAGAAAAACGAAGAAAAATGAAATAGAAAGATTCACCATTTTCTTTTCCTCTGTTTTTCTCTGTTTTTCTCTGTAAAAACAGAGCTTGTCGTGGCGATGAAGACGATGACGAGGTGGTTTTATAATGGAAAGGAGACGGTTTTTCTTTTATTTTTTAAATTTAATTTATAAATATGACTGACGTGGAAAAATAAGAATACACCACGTGTATGTGGGACCCATTTTAGTTTGAAAAATATGATCTGTAATATCGAATTTATTAGGATTCCTTTTATAGAAAATTTATTAGAAAAATGATAAATTATTAATTAATTTTTTTAAGAAATATTTTTTAATATATATATGATTCGGAAAAAAATTAATAGGGATGAAAATTTATATTTATATATTATATATTATTATAATAATTTGAATTTCATTTATATCTTATTTTTATGATATTTTTAAATTTTACAAAGAATGAAAAAAAATATTTTTTAAATTTTATGAACTAAATTAATAATATTAAAATTTTAGGAATTATATAAAATATTTATAGACCAAACAAACAAATTCTTTATTTTTTTTTATTCTCATTGTAAAATTTTAAAAAAGTTAATTTATAAAAGAAAAAATCAATGAATTTAATGATATAACCTTTTTAAGGAATTTTATTTTAAAATAAACCTATTTAGGGATGTTTAGTACACATTAGGGGTAATTTTTATTTTTTTATTTTTTTATTTTTTTAAACAAAATTTTCACTTTAATGCTATAGTCTCTTGTTAGCCAAATAAGGGATGTTTAGGTGGCATTAGGAGTATTTATTTAGTTTCTTTATAAACTCGATCGACTTTTTAAAATTATAGATTGATACGTGCTCGTTATCATATGAATGATGATATCGTTTTAAAGTAGAAGAACAAAAGCATGCATGTTTCAAACTCATGTAATCGTTTCTAAGTGTGACACTCATCCTAACCACCGATTGAGTCAACCAACTTGAAATTGTGTCGCCTTCGATTTGAAAACTTATACCCAAATCTCTAGCTCTGATTTTAGAATAAGTCTATAAAACGGGGCAGAGAGATTTTAGAAAGAGAGTTTGAAAGAATTAAAAACAACGTTATATAATTGTAAGTTAAAAAAAAAACACTAGTCACATTTTCTTATAGTACATTCTGAGACACGTCTTGGACATCCCTTATAGCCCTTCAGTAGCCATTCCCTAAACTTCAAACTAGTCGCATCTCCCTACCGTACATCCCAAATAATACCTCTTCAATAGCTCTTGGCAACACGCTTTGGACAAACATGACTATGACAGATAGCACATACAAGTAAAGATAACGTTTTAAAAGTTCTCTCCATTTTGTTTCTAATTTTCCTTAAAAGATCTCATACAAATGAAGATACTCGTTCTCAATTAGATTCTTATAATTTCTTTTCTTATTCGACCCTATAATAACATTTTTTATATCAATAATTATTTAATATTGGTTTATAATAATAAGAAGAAAATGAAAAAAAATTAATGAATACTTTTTACATTTACATGTTTCAAAAAACACCTTTATATTTTTAAAAAAATATTAAAAAATATCCTTGATAATTAATTTTAGAGGTAAACCATTAATACTTTATTTTAAAAATAAAAAAAAAATTAATACCGTAAATTTTCTTTAAAAAACTTAAAAATATATTTATAGGAGTAATAAAAGAGAGATTTTTATTAATTTAGCAAAAGGATAATTAGGTAATTAATCAATCCTTAAGACCAAATGATTAGATGTCAGAATTCAAATCCAACGGCTATCATCTTCTCCAAATCTCTCAATAATGAAACACAGTAACATCATATTCAATAATGGCATCACCATTGTTGACATTCAAATAATGTGTCTTTAGCTTAGCAAACCCTCGAGCCATCCTAAACTTCCCTCGCCCGCCGACAACCGCCACCTCCCGTTTCGACTCTGTCACCGGATTCCTCGAAAACACACTGATGGAGCTGCCCTTGAACTTGCCTGCAGTGAAAGCGTAGTCAATGTACATCACCAAGCAAAAATCTGAGCCTCTACTTGCTGACATATACATCCCCCTCGCATTGCCGATCAATGTCGAATTATATTCGGGTCCCTCTCGAAGCGGGTCGTCGATGGCGTAGACGGTGCCGAATGGGATCACAGACGTGCCGAAGGTGACGTTCGAATGCGCAACTTCGACAGCAGTGGGTTTATCGCCGCTTAGGATGTCGAAAAGGAAGAAACGGAGATGGGTTTCCTTCGGTTTTAGATGAACCCGCCGGGAAGTTCTGGAGTAGTACTCGGAACGGGCCGATATGGAGACGAGGAAGAGGACGGAGAGAACGATAACTAGCCGGGGATTTGCCATGGTGTTTCTTTCAATTGTTCATTAGAGAGATGGTTCTTGATTCTTATAGTATGTGATTGAAGGTAATGATTGTTGTAATTTGTGTATTTCTTATGCTAATTTGGAATGTTAATGAAATTTGTAACGTTTGATGGAGAAATATTTATGAATATACCATTGATGTTAATTCCACCAACCCCAAATTTGTTTAAATGGAATGCAATTTTGAAGTATATGAACAAGAAATGGTAAGTAATCGAGCCTTATTTTTGTAATTATTAGTGGATAATTGTTCATGTAAGCTTGGCTTGGGATTGAATTTAAAATGTTTAGAATGGTTTCTAATCCTTACAACTTTGGTGTGCTTAGGGTTTGGATGGAATGGATTGGAACTTATTGGGATGACGAGTTCGTGTGCCTAGGATGAGGATCAGGATTTGAATGAGCTGTAATGCTCCATGTCGTATACTCGAGATTTGGATGACGAGTGTTGGGTATATGGATGAACTTGGGCCACATCTAAATGAGAGCGATTGTGTCACGACCCAGTATTTTACTGAGTCGTGACTCAAAACGACAATGATGTCTCTTTACACGACATGGCTATCTGAGATTATATGGTATCTTATCTAACGAGACTATATGGTATCTTACTTAGGGGTGTGTCGAGTACCTCCCAGGTCCATGATAGTCCCCCCTCATTTCGGAAGCGACCCTCCCATTTCAATCAAAATGGAAAACTCAATATCAAGATGATTGATTGTTTTTTTTTTTTTTTTTTTTTTTTTTTTNAGATGATTGATTTTTTTTTTTTTTTTTTTTTTTTTTTTTCGGTTTTTTAGAAGCTTTAAAACATGAGTTTTAATGAAAAGGTTAAAGAAAGATTAATCAGCTTATTTTTAGGACAATATTTGGATCCCTCGTTTATAAATCTTGTACAAACAAAGAAAGCAGACAGATTTCTAAGGTAAGACAGCAAGTATATACTAAATGGAATCAAACGTTCAATCTTATCCTTTTTTAGTTTTCTTTTCGGACTTCCTTTCAAATCTTTTAAAATGGTCTTCTTTCACACCCTCTTCAGGTTTTTCGACTTCCCCTCAAAACTTTTAAAACGGTCAGCTAGGAAAAGGTTTTCACACCCTTAAAGAATGATTTGTTCTCCTTTCCAACTACCGACATGAAATCTCACAATCCACCCCCTTCAGAACCCAACGTCCTAACTAGCACTCATTTCCCTATCCAATCGATATGGGATCTCACGAGGGTAAGAAAAGAACACATGGCCAGACAAGTAAGGCTGGGTTGGTAGAGAGAGAGAGAGCACCACTGTTTCCAATTCAGCAAACGATCAACTTTCAGACAATAATGAACTAAAATAAGAACCTAGGCAATCATTTGTACAGTTAAACAATAATGAACTAATCATAATTCGATCTGTCAATAATTCAGGTCACAAACACAATCAAACTCGTAGGAATTTCTCAACAGAACACAATACTGATTTCAGTGACAACAACAGTACAGTTTGAACAATATTTCTCAGGAACATCATCAACAAGAGGTACAAATGAATCCATAAATGGCCTAGCCAAGCTACCTTAACCCTACCAAAATTGCACAATGTCCTGTACTTTGATCCCCATCAATAACACTCACAGAAACAAAATTTTATATGTATACTTCTTTTTTGTTTTTTTTTTTCTTTTCTTTTTTGTGGAGGGGGGTGGGGGGAAGAACACATGGAAGAACACAGTGAATAATTCAAGAGCCTTCAATAATGAATATCAGAAAATTTCATCAGCAATTTAATTATTTCAACTTCAGTATCAATCAATTGCTTATAATACCGTCTTCTTCAGTTTTCCTCAGCAGCAGGTCCAACATCAACCGCCTCAGCACTGCAACACGGAATCAAATGATTGATTCAACAACATGCAAGAAGATAATTACACAAAAAAGGCTTAAAAGAAACTAGAATTAAAGATCTCACCCTCCAATCTTATCATAGAAAGACAAACTACAAAAGGAACATGATTACATCTCAATTGCCAAAAGAAAAGGCTTCCAAGTTCCAGCAGAATTTAATATGGTCAATAACTTCTAGTTCAAGATCAAACAAATTTGAATGAACAAAACAAGCATCCTTGGAAAGCAAGGCATATGAACAGTGTTTTCCCATTCTGATCCAAATGATAACAAAAAGCCACTAAAACTATCATTTAGACAAAAAAAAATTGAAGTTGCCACAGCTATCTTCACTTTCAAACAATACGTATCATCATCATCTACTACAAAATGCAAGAACTTGAGTTAATTTCCATAGTTGCCTATTCAGTTTGCCCAATATCTCTCTTAAAACCATGAACTAAATCTACAAGAACCCTAGAAGAAAGAAGCAAATTAAACAATATCACAAAAGGGCAGCCAAGAGTATACGTATATAATCAAAGCAGAAAAAGTTTTTAAGTATAACGCAAACCTCTGGGGACGAGACTCCACAGATTCTGGCCTCCTCCATGCGCTCCCTGAACGATCTTGGGGAGACCAAGCATTTCGACTTCCAAAGCCTTTTCTCTCGAAGGAAGCCCCACTAGATCTCTCAGCTCTCACAACCGTGTCCTTAATTTTCATGGAATCGAGCTTCTCATCAATTTTCTTCCAGTCCTGACCCTTGTCAGCCAATACTTGTTCCCTTGGTCTAGCATTTCCAAAAGGATTGGAAGCCTTTGGCTTCACTGCGGCACCAGAAGCCTCCTGATTCCCATTGTTCAAAGGGAGTGAACGAGGCTGTAGATTAAGCCTCGGCCGCTCACTAATTCCACCTCTGACTGCTTCAGATCTTTTTCCCCAGCTATCTGAATCAGCCCCACCACCATTCTCGCCAATTTTACCCCTGGAACCTTCAGATTTTCGGTCCCAATTGTCTGAATCGGCGCCACCACCGTTCGAGGGAAAGCCTACTCTTCGCTCTCTCTCAAATCCACCACCTCTACCGCCTGATCTCCGACCATCAGAAGGTGAAAAGCTTTTATTCGACACCCAACTATCCAATTCGTCAGCTTTTGATGATTGCGAATCGAAAAAGCCTCCTCCTCCTCCTCTGTCTCTCCTCTCAAAGCCATTGCCCATCATAGGCTTCTTCCCAGCGCCCCAATCATCAATCTCATCAGCCCTAGAAGGCAACGAGTCCCTTCCAAACTCCCTATCGGATCCATCACCACTCCTCCTCGACTCATCAAAAACCCTAGAACCGCGTCGAGAATTCGACGAATCTTCACCATTAGAATACCGATTCCCCCTGTCATACAAACTATTCTGACCCCAACTCTTGAAACCACCTCCGAGCCGATCGCGGTCCAGTTCCTCCTCCGTTCGCTGACGCGGACCCGTCGGAAGCATCATTAGATCTTCGGTCGTAAGACCCTTCGGCTCACTGGATTGAGCCGACGGCTTAGGACCACCATAGGTATGAAACTCCGATAGGGGAATGGACTGACCTTTCTTCTTCTTAGGCTTGGTGGCAGCCGCGGCGGCGAGAGACGGAAAGTCGGCACTGGGCTCCGATTGCGAACGGGATTGCTCCTGCTGGTCCTTGAGAAGCTCAGCCTCGTGCTCCTCCGCATCCAGAGCCCAAGCTCCAGGCTTGCCCCACGGTGACATAGTAGCCGCCATGCCTTCGCTGTGAGTTATCGCGTGGGATTCTTCGTCTCCGCTGCGGTTTCTTGAGTAAATGGGTTACGATGGGTAGCAGAGAGAATAAGCGGTAATAAACGCCCTTCTCATGCTATTTCCTTCCTAATTTTATAGACGACTGATACACGATCCGACGGCTGAGATTCTTTTTCCCAATCCGTTTCGGAATGTAATCAAGTTTAAACTATTTATAATTTTTTAGTTTTTTTTTTTTTAAAATTAATTTACCAATTTGTTATTTATTTACATCTCTATTTTTAAAATTAGTTGGGTTTGAAAACTAAAATAATTATTTTATTTTGTAGTATATATTCTCAAAAATTTTGAATTGAAAACTTATTATTATTTGTTTGTTATTTCATATATAGTTAGTGATAAAATCACCCCATTTATTTAATAAATAAAATTGCATTGTCGATTATGACTTGTGTAATTTTCTTCTTTTATTATTATTATTATTATTATTATTATTATTATTATTATTATTATTATTATTATTTTGTTTGAAAGTGAGGGATATATCATGATTTAAATCATGAACGATAATTATATGCAAATAATGCTAAAACCTATTTAAAAAAAAATGGAAATAACATAATTATTAAGTGTCACCTCTAAGTTAATATGATTTGTCGTTCATTTATTATGTGAATTTTTTTTTATAAATTGAAGTCAATTTTTAAAAACTAAATACTTATTAAATGGCCTTTTCTTTTATATATATATATTTCTCTTTTTTTATTTATTTATTTTCTATCTATTTAAAAGAGAGAGATTGAAGACCAAGCACTCGTATAAAAGTGAGTAAATATATATATATATATATATATATATATATATATTTGTTGAATTTTTGGAAAACCAAAAGTTCAAGTTTTATGCAAATTTACATTATGCGGTCAAGATAACCAAATCAATTTGAAAATAGAGGTACAACCTAACTCTATCTTATCATACTTTTAACATTATTTTGAAAATTTTAGAATATTTAACCATGTGTAACAAATGCTGCGTTTTATGTTTGAGTTTTATAAAGTTTAGCTACTAATATAACATGTACCATGAATAAATAATTTAAAAAAAAATAATTAAGAAAAAACAATCTGATAATCCAATCTAACCCAACTTAAAAGTAAAAAGTTGAGTTTGGTCCGAGACCAGGATTGTGAACTTTATTCGAGCTCCTCAACCATCAATCCAACCAACCTGAAATTCTCGATTATAAAAGATTTTCCCAAAACCTCCCCTTCAAACATGGATCATGGATCATGATTATTTTCTTAAACAATTTCTCGCATAGTTCATCTTTGCAATTGGAAAGCCCTATCAATCCCATACAAGCTCGCAGCAT